TAATGATATATTGTTTATCTATTGCATCAATGTCGTGATTGGCTGTATCTATGGAAAGCGTATATCATTATTGCTTTATATTTGGTTGACCGAATAATTTAAAATTATCATTAGAATTGTTTATTCTAATTAAAAAACAAAATATAAAAAAATGTGTTTTGTAAATGATTTTGGTTATAAAATTACATAAGCGAAATGCAAGAGCTATCTACAAGGCCATAAAATAAATCAAAGAATATAAGACGATATAAGATAAAATAAATCAAAGAAATCAACATTTGAAATAATTTAAGAAAACAAATGCAGTCCTCACCAAATCTAAAATATTTATCAAAAACTCATATTCAATAATTTTTTATTCGCAGTTGCCGGTGATGATGGAATCAAGTAAAACTTTTGGTGCGGTGTGCACCTCAGGACCATTATTTGTCAGCGTGGCAATTGCCACAAGTCGGGTTGCACCAGGACAAAGAAATACCTGTCGCATGCAACATCTCAAACGACAGCAGGGTGAATGTGGAATTCGTTCAGATTAAAATTACAAAAGTGAGAACAATTTATTACTACTTCAAGTATAGTAATATTATTCTATATGACTATTTCAAAATCAGTATCGTTCAGCTGTTATGACTACTGTCACTACCGTACCCAGCCTCCTCTACTGCTCAGAAGTCATACATGAATATGAAAATTAAAAAATAAAAAATGTTCTTTTTTTGAATTCAACATTTGTTCAGATTTCTTCTAATTACAGATCGCTAAGTTTCATAGCAGACCCCACACAAATTAAGCAAAAATCATCAGATTTAGTGACTGTAACAGCGGAAGGAGTTCCTAAATTCAATAAAATCTCAATCACAAAAAATATTCAAGTCCCAGTAATTCCTCCATCGTTATTACAGAACTGCAGTATTATAGATATCGACTATGTAATTAAGGTAAATAGAAAAATAATCAAGAGAAATTGGTTGTTTTAGTTAAATTAAACTTTAGTTAATGCCTAATAAAATTTTTAAAATATATCATTAGATATAAGCAATCCACGAAAATTACAGTATGTAAGTGCAATTAAATTTAGTTGAATACACTAAATCGATGGTTGGTTTGTTCGTTTGGAACATTTTTAACTTCCCGAAGGAGGAGTTTTATGTTTTCGCCCAAAAATCTGATTCGCTAATTTTATGTTTTCTCGACGTTTCAAGCCATTCTCATGAAATGAGACCAAATTTGCAAAGTAAGCGTATGTGAGCCGATTTTGACCTTTCGCCCGACGTTTTCTCAAAACGGCTGGACCGATATGTCACCTCCGATAAGGACTAGCGTTTGTCGGTTTTGCACGACGATTAGGCAAGACTTTTTTGTAACTAGCAAAAAGTGAACAATTAATTTTTCGTCTTCGTTTTAGCCCGCAATCCTGGATCGATTTAAAAATTTCAAAAACTCTTTGAAATATTAACTGGAAAAGCTACTGATTAGTTTTTGGTAAAGATCCGCTGGCGTATTCTTGTAATTAACTGTTGAAAAAAAATCGTCAATTTTTATGAAACTTTTATTTTGACGATATACATCATGGTCTTCTAGAACATACTAAAATATTACGGCCATACGACTAGTTTTAATTTAAAAAAAAAAACATGATGACAGCAGCTTTTGTGAAGTGATAAGTAAAATTTGAATTTCACAAATTTAAAAGCGATTGGAATAAATTTAATAAAGAGGAGCCAAAAGGTTTAATTTTATTTTTATTATTATTTGCTTATATTTTACATTAAATCATATTACGGATATTATTTTCATGTAAATTTTATCCTTTGCTCTTTTTATTTATTTATTTAAATTTATATTATTATTTATCAATATTACTTGATGTTATAAATTAGCAGTTGTAATAATTATTGAAATGAAAAAAAAAGGTATAAAGAAAATCGCCAAGCCATTCGAATTTAGAAATGACTTAGGAATTGGTAAAACAATAAGTGAGCAGTCTACAAAAATTCTCAAAAAAGTTGTGTAAAAAGTTTTACCATTGATTTAAATCATTAAATAATATCAAGGACTACGTATATGATATATGTAATAGTGTAGTTGAAAATTGTATCTAAAAATCTTAATCTCAATTTCGGTTGATTAAGTCAATTATTACACATTTTGAGAAGATCATGCTACTGCCTTAAGGCAAAATGATACTTTCAATAAGTTTTAATATTGTTTGAACAGAAATCAGAACTTATACAGAGTCCTATATAGATGTTCTGCTGATTTGACTTAATGCTACGTCGGTTTTACAGATGGCAACCCATACAATTATTTAATCTTTGTGTGATAAAATTTATTATTACAATTTCTGTAAGTGGCGCCAAATACAATTATTGTGAGATTAAAAATGTCATACTGTTTATTATTAAGAATCGTTAATTCTGTAAGAATAACGTTTTAACGAATCAATTATTCACAATATCATCCTGTACTATTTAGTTGCAAATATGATTTTATTGATTACTTAATTATCTCAACAATTTTATTTTCAGGTGACAGCAAGTATTGGAGGCTGCCACAGATCTTTGCGCATTTCATTGCCCCTCACGATTGGCACAGTACCAATAATAGATCGATACGAACAATCAAATATAGGATTTACATCAATTGCGCCATCAGCACCGCCTATAACAACGCAACCTGGTTCAAGTGCCCAGTATGATGATTTACGTAAGTAATCTTGTTCTTGTTTTTGTATCGCGTTATGCTACAATTTTGTAACAAGCCAATCCACATGAAAGTACAAAAAGATACCTTCAACTATGAATAAATGTTGCCAGACAGCAGTGACAACGATTTTCACGTGGAAATATAGATAGCAATATGTTTCCAAGTGAAAACAGCACCAATACGGCATTGCTGCACCAATAAAAAGTCATCACTATTATAACAATTGTAATATTAAAAGTTCAGCACATAGAGATAAGACAACTGTTTGGGTTGCTATCTACAATAAAACAAACTTAGTTTGTAAGAAATTCATCACAGCAGCTCATAGAATCCATAAGTTCTGATCGCTCTTCAAATAAATTAAAAAAAAAAAAACAAAATAAAACTATGAATAAATAGACCATGATAAATACAGACACGAATTATCTCGGATATATCAAATATCCGTTTACTTAAAAAATATCATATTAATTCTTTTGAAAAAGAGGTTAGCTTTTGCCAAAGAATCCTTTGTTTTAATTTTATGTTTTCTTGATGTTTCAAATCATTCTGAATTATTCCACATCAGAATTGGAAAAAGTGTTTGTGTGTATGCTATATTATCTAACATAATATATATAAAACAAAAGTAAGGTAAGGTTAGTCTGTGCCGTTTTATCTAAATAATATTAATTTTTTTAACTATTTTATTGAAACATAGAGTTAAGAGTTCTTGGTCTTAATGAGCATCCTCAAACATTATAGACCAAAACTGGTTTAAATATACAAGATTGGTATAATAAACCGTGCTCTTCAAGAGGGTTCGCAAAGTTCAATGGCAGAGAACACATTATTACAAAGTATTACTATGTATTTACATCGATAAGTTTATGCAACTTTTCTGAAGACAAATTGCTACTTACATCTAGTCTGCTTTAAGCACGATAGCTCGCCGGATTGCCCATATTGTTTAGGGAAAAATAAAGATGCTAAGCACGTGTTCTTCGTGTGCCCGCGATTTAGTGCACTATGGGACGGTGTAGAAGATTTATTAAGCTGGAGAATTACTCCAGATACTGTGGTACTGACAACTGAGACTGCGTGGAACGCCATAGTCACATTTGCTACCGAAGTGCTAATTGTCCTGCGATTTTGGAAAAGAGGAAGAACGAATGGGACTTCGCTCATTTAAAAAATAAGCAAATTTTATTTCGAGAATTATAACATTCTAGATTCTCCCCCACGAAGTAATGCTTAACGGCGGTTTCCATGGAAACCAGAGGCAATGGAAAAGCGGAGATTTTAGAAGGTATACCCAGGCGGTATTGAGTCCGACATACCCAGGCAAAAGGCCAGTCTGGGATGCATAAATATTACTCCTTCGCTATAAAAAAATTGCTTACATCCAAATTGGATATGTCTGATGGTAAGGAATACAGAATAACTAATTAAGTCTCGAACACTTCCATGTTACCTTGTATATGTAATTCAATAAACCACTAATTCTGGATGAGAATCTAAAAAAAAAATCCACTAACTGCTCTGAAGTAAAGGACTGTGTTCATCAAGTGTTTGCATATATGCTAACATTGTAGCAAAAATATTTTTTTCAAAATGCTTTAACTCTAACTTGAGCTTACTTTGATGGCAGTGTAGTTTCCAGTGACCAAAATGAATTACATTTTAATGAATGTAAGATGATGTAAGATGAATGTAAGATAAGATAAATAGGCCGAAGATCTGTTTCTAAACAATAAGATTGTATGAAATAAAAATAAAACGATGTACTACATGTCATATTCAGAAGAAACTTTTAGTGAAAGAGCTTTTAGAATGTGATGCATTCTATAATCTACTGAGATAATCCAGTTAAACTCAGCAAATATTTGAGTTATTCACATTATTTGTTCTATTAGTTAATAGTTAATTTATCTACCTATGAGAGCCACATTTTTTTATAGTACAATTATCTGTTTTTCATTAAATCTTCTAGTAATCGAGTTATCTGAGCAAGTTACTCATGTCGAATTCTATCAGACGAAGTATTGATTATACATATTATTTATTGCATAGAATAATAATTCTACGACCTCAATAAGTAACAGTTAATAATTATTTTAGAAATATATGCGATATGAAATGTAGAATAGATTTTTATTAATTATAAATCTTGCACAATTAATTTTAATTTCAATCGCAATACTAATTCAAAAATATTATTAAATTATTTGTACAATTGCAATCATGATTTACGATATGTTTTTCATTTCAGCTCCTTCATATGAACAATGCTTGTTTGGCACCCAGAGTATACAGGACAATAATGATTCCCAACATACATTGGGATTTCAAAATTTTGCACCCTCATATCCAGTGTATAATGCAAAAAGTTGATGCATGGTCAAATAATCTAAGTTAAGTTTGTAGCCCAAAGAAAGTATAAGTGTTTTGACATCATACAAAAACAAAATTCAATGACGGCATAACTTTGCCAATATTGTCAACATCGTTTGTACATAGGCAAATCGAATAATTATTGTAAATCATCTATATTAATTTATGGCTAATATTTATGCACTATAATTCGAAATAAAAAGTTATTTTAAACTGTAATGAAAACCAACTTATTTTTAGATCAGAAGGAAACCAATAAACCAAACGACATGAGAAACTAGTTGGTTTGGTATTTAGCCTTAAGGCAAGTTACATGAACTTCCCGATATGTGTAATTAATCGACTTAATCAATAAAAACTAAATTAAATTATGAGTGATTAAAAGTTTCGAGTGGATTTATTACACATAATTGAAAACGAACGAACACTTTGACACGGGATATTTTCTAAAAGTCAATTTTCAGAAATCAACAACTATTAATATTGAACCAGTTTCCATAGGACTTTAATAGCTTAATATGTTCATTAAAACCAAGTACTCTATCGTTATACCAAGTAAAATCGTCCAATTTTATTTTTAACAAACGTCAAAAAAAACTACTCATTTTCTCAAACTTTAACGAATTTTTAAAATTAAACTACTTGTCGTAAGGCCGTAATATTTTAGTAGTTTCTATAAAATAATGATATATATCGCCAAAGAAAGTTCCATGAAAATCGACTTAAATTACATTAGTTAATTACAAGAAAACAGCTCGGTAGATTTTCACCTAAAACTGATCAGTATAATTCCCAAGTAATATCTTTCGAACAGTTTTTGATTTTTTAAAATCCATTCGGTAGAATGAGCTTAAATGTGGACGAAAAGTTTAACAGTTTTTTTCATATATTATTGTTTATTAGGGTTTGTCGGTTTTCAAAAACCGGTTTTAAAAACCGGTTTTTTGGCGAAAATTATGGAATTCGAAAACCGGTTTTTAAGTGAAAAAGGCCGGTTTTCACTGTATAAATGGAAAATGACAAATGTAGGTAAATATAAAAGATAGATGAAAGCTTTTTGATTCTTGAAATCATTTCGGTTCAATAGCATTTGATATCTTATCAGTCTGCAATGGTCTGAAAGGTTTTGTATATTTTAATTTAGATTTTTATACCAGTGTATATTAATTTAAATAAGTGTGATTTCTTCTTGGAGAAGTAACTTCCTCTACTCAAACTTAAAAAAAGAGTTTTAAACCCTTGAAGCCACAAATTGAAGAACAAAAAACTTAGAATTATTATATCAGGCTTTAAAAACAATTAAGCATAATTTAGTCGAAAGTATGAGAGTATTTTCTATTTCAGGAAATTTTGTGGAGAGGACAAGTCTAAGTAGCAATTCGTAAGACGTTCTCAGTTTTTTTGAAATCATCTTTTATTAAACAAAAAATACAGTTATTGAATTAAATAGTTTTTATTAAGAACATGAAATATATATAAATTATTTTGATCGAAGTAAGATATTTACAAGAATATGATAAAAAATGAAACAAAATCTAAACTAAAAAACCTATTTTTCAACAAAAAAACAGCATGTTTTTATATAGAAAAACCTTTTTTGAAAGGACCAAACCCGATGTTAAAATTAATTAATTGAAATTGCCCGGAACAGACGATACCCGAGTTCAACTTAATTGCTTTTAAAATTAAAATTGATATTAACAAGTATGTATCAACAAGTACCTAATATTTTTTAATTTTTTTTTTAAATAATAAATTTTTTTTATTTAAAAATATATTGTTTTTATTTATTCGAAAACTTTCCTTTCACTATCATAAAAAAATTTCATTCTTGTATCTGAAAATGAAGCATGAATAACGAATAATTATTTTCAAAATTATTTAATCCAGATAAACTATTTTTTTCTACTAATTGAAATTAAAATAATAAGTTTACTATCTGTAAAATTGAACAATAAATAAATTCAGTCAAATACTACTACAGTCTATACTACACTAAATTTGCGGATAAATTACAGAATATTCGAGCAAAAATTTATTTTCTTTATAAAATTCGAAAACCGGTTAAAACCGTTTTTTTGGTAAAATTAAAATTCGAAAACCGGTTTTCTGAAATGTCGGTTTTTGTATAAACCCTATTGTTCATATATTATTGTTGTTTCATCAATATCTTTCGAACGGTTTTTGAATTTTCAAGATCGATTCAGAACTGCGGGCTAAAACGTGGACGAAAAATTTTTCACTTCTCTGTTATTTACAAAAAAACGGCTTGGTTGATCATCGCGCAAAATTGATAAACGCTAGTCCTCATCGAGATACATGGAATGGCTTTTAAATTTTTGAAATCGGTCCAGCCATTTTTGAGAAAACGTCGATTTACGGCGAAAAATTTGTTCACATACACACACACATACACCCATACACACACACATACTTTTTCCAAATTTGGTCTCATTCGATTCAGAATGGCTTGAAACGGCGAAAAAACAAAATTAGCAAATCGGATTTTTTTATGAAAACATAAACTTCTCCTTCGGGAAGTTAAAAATTGAGAAGCCGATTCCGCCGTAAAATAGACCAATGTTATGGCAAGGCTATGTTTCGTAGCGCTCCTTATACAAAATAGTACTAAATACTGTAAAATGCCGTGTATTAGCCGTTATTAACTTCATTCTTATGTTATTATGCCACACCAGAAAGATGCAGTTATGATAACATTGTCTGTTTGACATTTGTGAGTTTTCTAGGCTAGATTTTCTATCTAAAACGTCAGGCTGTACACCAACCACATCCACATGGCATTTTGTCAGTATTTAGTACCACTTTGTATGAGAAGCGCTACGTAACATAGCCTTGTCACAACGGCAGAAATGGCCCTTGATCTTATTTGATTGAAGAGTTTATATAAAAATGTGATGTGCTAAAAATATAAATTATTTTTGTTGAATTAAATAGTAGTAATATAGTAAGTAAGATATATACAAGAATATGATAAAAAATGAATCAAAATCTAAACTAAAAAAAACTATTTTCCAACAAAAAAATTAAACACCATTTTTTAGATAGAAAAACCTTCTTTGAAAGGACTACCAAACCCGATGTTGTACACATATTATATAAACTGGTACGTTTATTTAACCCTCCGTCGGTCGGCGTGGTCTGGCCAGACTTTTTTCGACTTCAATTAAAAAAAAAATACTTCTAGTAATCCTATCGACTTGAAATTTCTTGACTTTTCCTAAAATTTCATTAGCTGTCGATCAATGAAAAATTCAGGACGAAAAAATGTACAGAAGGATAATTATAAGGATATTAACTTTTTTATACTTCGAACGGTCGGAAAGGTCTGTCTAGACCACTCATACATTTTGTATGATATATACGCTTTTTGATGTAAACCAGTATTTTGTCTTTTTTCATGGTATTTTCTATTTAAACTGCGTTGTATATATTCTTTGCTATGTGTTGTAACTTGAATGTTAGTATTTTCATGACGAGAGTTCCTTGAAAACCTACCAAACTTATTGGTAATCGCAATTTGCGATTCGCAAACACTGAAAATTGGATGAGTAGTAATGCACACATTATCAACAATTTTTCTACCCGTACTGCGTTCAAAATTTGTTTTTGTAAACCTGTAGTGAAATTATATTTTCACTTTGAGTTTTACAGCTCATTTCAAAGGCGACGCACCTCATTTCGTTTTCATTTGAATTTCACATTCATTTCAAAGGCGCCGAAAAAGAATAAATATTGTTTTTCATTGATATAAATCAAAAAAATTAACAAAAAAGCAACGATTTTTTTATATTTTTTGATTTTTTTATATAATATAATCTGTAATATTTTTATTATAAGCAAGTTCAACACATGCAAAAGACGGTAAAAAAAATCAAAACTTTAAATATTTACTACTAATAATCGTTAATATATAAGACACCAAAAACTCATTTAACCCATATAAATGCATGTAAAATGAATGGTGGTCCAGCCAGACCTTTCCGACCGTTCGAAGGTGAAAAAATATCCGACCGACGGAGGGTTAAACATGTTACAAAACAGTCAATGATAAAACCCATAATAAAACCATTTACAACTGTATATCTAGTACCTTATGGTCTGTCGAACAAAAACTGTTAAAAGGGGTACCGTGTTATATGGAGTATCGTGTTAACGAAGGGCTGTCGCAAAATCAGCGCCACGTTGTATGGTATCGCGTGGTTAGCTGTATATACATACATATTTACATGTCCTACATGTGTAAAACAATATCGTCTATATTGATTATAGAATTGTTCTTTTCATATTAGCCTTGAGTTCTAAAATCTCTAGTATATGTTTTTCTAAATGTCGCCTAATGGCCGAGAATTACACCTATGGAGGCTGTAGGAATTTTTAAAGATGAAAGTGAAATCTTTAAAATCATATTTTTCATTTAGAGAAAAAACTTTTAGAGAAAAAAACCTCTTTTTTGTTTATACAATATTATAGCATGATCTGATTAAAAAACAATATATTACTCATTTCAAAAAATTTGGCGACCATATCTACCCCCAATGTATGATCTTTTCACAAAATCATTATAAAAATCATACCTATTTAAATACAATTTCAATAGACGTCAATACAATTTCAACAAACAATTAGCAGCAATATTTATTGAACTGAAACTAACTCTTCCCAAATATTTAAAAAATCTGATAATGTAGAATTGTGTCATCTGTAGGATATATATATATAAACACATGATAAACAATCCAAAATCTGCATAAACGTTTAACACAACAGAAAAACAAACTATAATATAACAAATAAAATATCATAAACAATTGTCAATTATAATTTAAAATTGGGTAATCTTATTTGCATTAACTCTTTGGGGACGGCTGTCCACCTGAGTGGAAAAACATACTCTGTTGAGACACATGCTATTTTATAAACAATGACTCAGTTTGCATCGAAACGTTGAATAAATTACATAAAGCAGTGATAAACAGTGTTGTATTTTCAAAATAATTTTGAGTTATTTTAGTAGTATTTTTAGCCTTTTTCATTGCTATATAGTCTTTTTTTAAATATTAAAAACGACCGAGCGCGCGGAAGCGCACCGAAGATAGTGATGAATGTGATGATATTATTATCCAACCAATAAAAAGAAGAAGAAGTTCGATAAATTAAATGAAGTGTGGAAAGACATTAGCAAAAGTACCGATTTTCCTTCAATAATCGAGTTTGACATACATCAACAAACACCCCGACTACAAATACCAAGCAGTATAAGACATGCAATAGATTATTTTACTTTATATTTTACAAATGAATTATTAGACAATATAATAGAAAAAACAAACCATTATGGCAATAAAAAAATGAACAAATATACTGACTAATCAGTGGCATATTCTAAATGCGAGAGAAAAAAAAGGGATTGTATTGTTTGTTCTGACAGAAAAGCACTAGGAGGAAGGCGGCGAAAAACATTTTATTGTAAAACATGTCGAAATCAACCAGCTATGGATTTTGGAAATTGTTTTGACCGTCAACATTCTTTATAAAATGATAGAAAATAAATTAATAATATAAATGTATGTCCTTCAATGACCTGAGAATGAAAATTATCATACAAATTGCATAACATACACAATGAAATCAAGTTTACAGCCGGTACAGTAGATTGTTTTGAATTAGGTACCGTCCGTAAGGGTTAAATTAAAATTTTCAGAAAATCAAACTGCTGTACGACTAATTGAAATGTCAACAAATTAATTATGAACTAACCTGACAAAATTGCAGAATGTATTTCAATTTCTCTGAACTGAAACTTGTCTCGAAAAATCACTGTTTCAAACAGAAAGTAAGCCGAAGACGTCATTATTACCGAATAAGCACTAAATAATAATATACACTGCCTTCAACTAACTAACCATATTGTGCAATAACTCAATTTCGAATAAAGTTTTAAACTGTCAACACTGTAGTCTATTTATGATACTCTCAATTGCAATTAACAACGGAATAATTGCCAAAAGCAACTATTGATTCACTGTATGGTTGATACAATGTATGGTTAAAACTCGTGAAATTTGACATACGAATCGAAGTGAAATATGATGACTACAGTTAAATTCATAGCACCAAACTTCTCCGACGACCACATCTAATTTCTAATGTACTCACAGAGCATCGATGCCCTTCTGGTCCCGTCGGTGTTCACTTGCCAATATTTTTTTAATTTCCACCAGAGGTCATGGTGGGCAATGAGCAGTTGATGGCGCATGGTGACGACCGACAACCGCGACTTTTAAATTCATTCCAATTCTTCTGTTAAACTAGTGGTGCATGGCCTTAAGGTAAATTGCTGGAACTTTCCGTACCAGAATTAAATACTCGAGGAAAAAAATCAGTAATCAATAAATATTGATCAATGATTTACAACAATGGTTTTAAACATTTTCAATAAGATAATTATAATCACTATATATTTTATCGTTCATAAAATATACAGTGAGGATTTTATCGCTTAAAACACTTGAGAAAGTTTACATTAGCAAGAGGAGCCGAATAAAACCATCTGATGATATACTTCTTACGATTAGAATAACGCACTTTTTGTCCCGTATCTTCAAAGCGTCTGGACCTGTCTCCACCAAAAACTAATCAGCACGTCTTCTTATCAATAGAAATAGAATGTTTTTTAAATCATTCAAATCACTTGATTCGTGCGCCCGAAATCGTGGACGAAAAATTGTATCCAAACATACACACACACGCACACATATATCCATTTTTTCCGAGGTATGCCAAAATGTTCAGAAACCTTTGAAACGTAAAGATATGCAAAAATTGTCGTTTTCAATTTTTTGCGATTACTATAACTTACCCTACAGGAAGTTAATAAATGAAAAGATTTAAATAAATCTAGTTCAAATTTAAAGTAATCCCTTTTGGACAAATAACTGATACACTATATTAACTTTTATCACATTAATTGTATAGCAAGGTTCAACCACTTTGAACATGAGGTTTTTAAGTGGAGGGGGGATTGATAAAAAACCACAAAATATCACGTGGGAGAGGGTGGGGTATAGTAAGATACTACGTGTATTTATTTTTAACTTGATTTTTTTAAAAAAATCCAAACATTTTCAAAAAAAATAAAAAAATTAAATCTTTTCACATAACTAAAAATACACGTAATGTTTGGTAGGAGAGGGGGGGGTAATTTTGAATATCACTACGTATCACTAAGGGAAAGAGAGGGTCCAAAAATTCTTAAAAAGTCGATCACGTGATTAATGGACGCTCCCTTAACAATCCGAACCGTCAGTTTGCAAATTGGGCAGAAGTTAGTTTGAGCGAGGATAATCAATTTCACAAAAAAATCATATTTTTGGACAAGGTCATTTCTTCGTTGGTGGTTTCGTTAACAAACAGAATTGCCGCATTCAGAAGCCAATGCACCCAGCACGAGTCACCTTATGGCGCGGATTTTGGTCTGGTGGAATCATCGGCTAAAATTTTTCTTTAAAATTGAAGATAAAACCGGAGGAGTGACCCTCAAAGGTGAGCGATATCGCGCAATATTATCCAAATTTATCTTGAAATAAATTGAAAAGAAAGACTTGGACGACATTTCAGCCCAGCTAGACAACAAACACTCAATCTACACTTCTAATCTCCGAACGGGCTGGACCTGCCTTTTTATCAAAAACTAATTAGCACTTCTGCCGTCACTCCAAATTTAATGTTTTTTTCATCATTCAAATCGGTTGATCTGAGCCCCCGATATCGGGAACGAAAAATTGTATCCAAGCATACACATACACCCACTTTTTCTAAGGTATGCCCAAATGTACCCAAGGTATCGGAAACCTCAGAAACGTAAAGATATGCAAATATTTTTAACGTCGCATAGGGTAAGTTATAGTAATCGGAAAAAATGAAAATGATATATCTTTACGTTTCAAAGATTTCCGATTAGATCCTAGACATGCGTAGATAAGAAAGTCAACAATAAGTCCACTTAATTAGATTTTGTTTATATATATTTCATTCAAACACATATAAACAACGTCGTCTAATCTAAATTTTCACATTTTGTCTACAAGGAACAAATATTGAAAATTTTAGTTTTTATAATATTTATTCGTAGGCATTTTTTGACTGATTATTTTAATTCTTCGAATGATTAATTACGGTACGGGAAGTTCCAGCAATTTGCTTTAAGCACGATTTCATGCTCATGCCCCACCAGTCATTTTCGATTTTATGCGATTACTATAGTTTACTAGATGACCCGACAGACGTTGTGCTGTTCCATGTCTACAATTTTTAATATAATATACTAATATTTACCGTTTACCTAAAAATAATTATTATTGTTTTTTAAATTACTCTTCACGCCAAAATTCATATACATTTATAATATTAGCGATGTTAAATGTAGAACTGCTTTAAATAAAATGATGAGTCTAAATTCCCACACTGTATTGGAAATTGAAGTCTTTTAAAATGTATAACATAATCATAACTATAACATAACACTGGTATTCCATGTTGGATGAAATTAATTTAATTTTTTATTATTTAAGATATCCAAAATTGCATCTTAAACTTCTCCTAATCGATATCGTGAGGGCCGAATTGTTTGTATTCATTACTTTCCTCTTTGTTCTCATAAAGTGAAATTTTTACGAATTTTAAAAATATTGTGGAAAGATAAGTAGAAGATGCAAAGAAATTATATATTAAAAAAAACTATATTAAAAATTTAATATCCGAATCTAGTGTTGACGCCCCCTGAGGCGTGATTTGATTAATACTTGATTTCATATTTCAATTGAATTAATTTGTCATGTCCTGTTCATCATGTGTATCATTCAATCTGCCATACATATACTGTATTTTATATTATTTTAATTTCTGGCACAACTCAGCCATATAAGTACTTTATAATCACATACATCCTAAAAATTTTCCTTAATAAACTTCAGAAAGATTTATCAAAATCCGCATAGTCGTTTAGAAGGAGTATACAGTGGTGCTTGTAATTTAATATGAACTTTATATAATAGCAATAAAACTCAAATTCATTCTACGTTTTAGTTAAAAAACGTTTGTATGAGAAAAAGAAAAGGGCTGTTTTTAGTGTTTTCCCGGCAATTATTCGACTTTTTCTTGCCGTAAGGACCATCCTTGGACATCAAGGAACATTTTAAAAAAAGAATTGGCCAAATTGTCCAGGCGTTGGTGAGTTATGCGCTTACCAACACATTTTGCGATTCATTTTTATATATAAGATGATACGGAAAGTTAATAAATCAGATTTGATTGAATATATTAGATATTTTAACATTTTGCAGCCAAAAATCAAGTTTTATATATTACCACTGCAGTAAGGCACGTCCATCAAAATCCTCTGCCAACTTACTATATGAGCAATTTGTTTGAAACAGCTGGACAACAAATTAAACACCACATTTTTACTTTATATTACTTTAATAATTCTAAATTAATTATACACTCTAGCTGATCAACACTTCAAAGTATTATAATAACAATAACATTTATGTGCCATTTTACATAACCGTCAATTTTATCTTTAATGATACAATACCCCGCTGTACATGACATTTAGCCATAATCAAATTAAACAATAAACTTTCACTTTGACACGATGTTAGTTACAAAACATGATACTACACAAACAATTGGAAAGATTTGAGTTTTTTAAAGTTTTTGGTTATGTTATTATCGAGTAACGACCATGATTATCTTTCGACCGAATTGAGCAATTAATTTGATCACAGGTAACACTAATCTAATCGCAAATTGCACTTTTTTTATGACACTGACAGCAAAATGAATATATCCTGTAGGACTGACAGGCGTGGATCTGTCAAAATATAATACATAAATGAATATTGTCATAATATATTATATTATATTATGTATGAATATATTATATTTTAATATTGTAAAGGATGTGGACAATGAGATATCCCCTGATACCCCCACTCAACCGCAATTGATATCAACCAATAAAAGTATTTAAAACTTCTTTTTGCAGACATTAAATAATATCAATATTTACTATCTGGCCAAATTATTTATTATGAAAAATATAATAAACATATTCCACTATGCGGAGTATATACGGAGAATTCAAAGCGCATTACGTAGACCGTGTGGCCTAATGGATAAGGCGTCGGACTTCGGATCCGAAGATTGCAGGTTCGAGTCCTGTCACGGTCGAAATTTCATTTTTTTTGTCAAATCTATTTTTTTTAGTTTTAAAATAAGTAAAATCCATATGTTTTTAAAATATTATATATAAAGACACATTTTTTTTAAATAAATACGTGAAACTATTTGAAAACATATATATAAGTAAAACAAAGATAATGATATTAAATACATTAATAATTCACAGCTAAATGCATAGATAAAAGAAGAGTATACATGGCTAAATGAAAATTTAATTTAGCCATTGATTAGAAAAATAAAACCATTTTTTTAATACAACGTTATCTAAAACAAATTTTCACAAAATTATTGTCAAACAAATCGGTTATAAAAAATATTATATTACATTTGATTTTTTTATATCCGTTAGTTCGCAACGAGTGCTGCGAAAACAAATGAATAATCTAAAACAAGATAAAAATTAAGTGTCAACTTTTAACTAACTACAATGTCTGATTTAGTTTATTTAGTTGTTCGAAGAAAGAAGCGATCAATATTTTTAGAAACACCGTCTGCAACGAACATAGCGGAAATCAAAAAAATGTTAGAGGGAATTATAAAAGTTCCGACATATAACCAACGACTTTATCTAAATATGGATGGAGAGCTAGAAATGGAAGACGACAAAGATCTTGAATTCTATGGTCAGAATTTTATAACAATAATTAATCAACTTACAAATAGACAATTGATATTATTCTCTGCAGGTGTAACGAGCGCCATTTCCAAACCAGCCAGCCCAGTTTACTTAGGTTTGTGTATCAAAATTGAAGATGGATCATTTGAGCCAATGCTGATTATTCCTTATTCTGTACCTCCTGAATTTGCTGATGTCATGAAAATGGTGCCACCAGCAACAAACACAGAACCAATTGAAGCTAATAATTTGACTATACAAAATGAAGAAATGCCACCACCAGATCAGAACTAATAATCATAAATAAAAGACAAATATATAATCATCATATTTATTATGTGCCATATAAAACATATATATATATATATATATTTACAAGCACAATTTTATACCAAAGTATAAAATATTATAAAAGTTATCTAACTATTGGATACAGTTACGTGAATATGATATCCATAGAATATTTAGAAATTGAAATAAAATGGCAATTTGAGATCATGACTTATATTATAAGTTTGCTAAAAAATTCAGATTTTAAAACTTCTCAACTTATGTATTTATCGTGATTATATCACCAGCCTCATTTGTCATTAAAAGATATAAATAAAATGTAAGTAAATGATTACGCTTTACAGAGTTATTGATCCATATAATAAACTGTACAAAATCTATATTTGGTTATATTTTAAAATGCAGATTAGTATTGAATATGTAGATTTTAAATAATAGTACCGTTTATAATTATATTCATATAAAATGCATTTTACCACAAGGATTCCTTAATTTCGAATTAAGTGTTATCTTAAGGTACGTAAAAATGATTTTTTTTACTAGTTTATATATATATATATATATATATATATATATATATATATATATATATATATATATATATATATATACATATATATATATATATATATATATACATATATATATAATTTCTTATATTGTCTATTAGTATAGAAAATCTATTCTATATGTTTATGACACAAAATTCAGTCGTCAATCCTGATTATCTATTCAAACTTAGCTTCATTTAAATGGACATATATCTTATTACAAATTTTCTCATTGTTATGATATTTAATTTTTTTTAATTGTTACAAAATTTTATAAATTTAAAGTTTAATAAATTCTCTCTACAATTCAATATATTAACTAAATTTAAATGACTTGAATGAATTCTTATACAAATATTATAATTTTATAAACATTGAATATTAAAATTTATTAAAATTATTTACCTAACCATTGAAACAGTCATAAAATATGACTATTATATTTTATAAAATTAATTAGATTTATGATTTTTTTATTGAATTATTATCTTAATCTTTAAAATATATTTAGTTTAAAACTGAGTAATACCTTTACTGAACAGAATAAGAAATCGTCATTGAGCTCAGCGATATGGTAATTACCGAGACAAAATTGTGGCATCACCTTCCATCAAGCAAACCAATATTTTTGTTGTAATTCAGCACTGAAATGATTATTGTTGCTGAGTAAAAATGTTTAGTTGTGTTTGATAGAACCATAAAGAATTCTATAAAGAATGATACTTCATTTTGAAATGATGATAATTTTGTTAAATCTAAGTTTGAAAAAATAAACCTATTAATGTTACAACAAAAATATAAAGTATTTTAATATTTTCCTAAACAAGTTATTCCAATAATTAACTAATATATTTACATTGATTACTACTACAATTAAAATTTATTTACATATTCATTATAAGATATCACTAAATTATTCAAGTTTTTGATAGAATAATAAAATGTGTCAAAAATCTCAGACGTCAAAATCAATTTAAAACTTTTCTTGGCCTAAATAGTAAAAAACTTCATGTTTATAGATGAAGCGATTGATTATCAAAAATATATATACATATTAAGTATCAATATATTTATAAATATGAAAATACTCATATTTAATGCAAAAGTTGTATGCAAATTCACGCACAGAAGTTAATTGCTTGAGCTACTTCTTATTATCTTTGAAATATATTAGTAAGAATCTCTTCCAATAAAACATATTAAATATAATAATTTTTTGTAATAATCAGAATCAATGTTCTTATGCATTCACAATATCTTTGATAAAATATAGATCTAAATATACTACAAATATTACAATTGAGGCAAATAAAGTATGATGAATATGCATACTTAAAATTGATTGTAAATTTTCTTCTAAAACATAGTATTAAATGATTATACGTACAAAATTGATGTTTAGTTTATTTTAATTCAATAGTTTTAATTAGATTTATATCGTGAAAAAATTCTCCAATTAATAAAATAAATAATAATTCAAAATACATTTCAAGAGCCTGAAAGCACATTCTTCGTTTGTAGCACAACTATAATTCAATTACATATTAGCATTCCTTTTTCATTGGCGCTCATATTAATTACAATATGAGGCACCTTTTTCACGAAGTTGTCGAATTTCGGTTACCAGTTGTGAGTTGCGTCGATTCGCTACGTTTCGGTGGAGGCGGTGGAGGCCGTTTGTTGCGGCCGTTCATAACGCCGACGATGGAAGATTGAGTTGGAATGACCGCCATGGTCGGTTGCATGGCATGCGGCATTGGCGGCTGCGATATGCCATTGCGCCCGTTCATCTGCTGATTCATCGCCAAAGAACCACAAGGTCCACCCAAGTTCTCATATAAATTGTCTCCATAATGTTCCTGAACCCAGTTGGATACATTTGTTTCCCTGTAAATCAGTAAAAATTCAAGATTAGATATTAGAACAATTCCTGATACTGAAGATGTTAAAATTCAATCATTTGATATTAACCATTCATAAAAACACCTGAACCACGCGTTCTAATATTCGCATTGATCATTTAAATTATTTTATATACAGTAAAATCCGCTTAGTATGACATTGAAGGGACGCCGTAATCTCGTCATACTAACCGGTCATCATAAAAGCGTACTGAAGAAAAACTTTTTAATATGCAAATATGTTACAAACAAACGTTTTAATTGAAAATAAAAATGACACATTAAAATTTAATATAAAATAAAATTGACATAGGGTAGGGCGGGGGCACAACGGTCCAATTTGACTTACGGTAATTATACTGTTTAAACCCAATGAACAACACATAACATACATCAAAGAAGCATCTATCGAACTATGTTCAGAAAAACTTACATACATACGTACATAATTCCTAATTATATAAATCTTATATTTTTTACTATTTTTTAAACATTTGGTATCTGACCCATTTTACTTTACATACGGGGTAAAGTGGAACAACCAGAGGGCGAACAGATGCAATTTCTTCTATTAAATTTTGAAGGCATTTTACGCTACATTATTGAACCAATGCAAAATATTAATTCTGTGGGTGCATTTGTTACAAAGACAACACAGTATATTACATTGATCTGCTATTGGTCAGAAATATTCATCAGAAGAGCCGGAATAACAATTTATTCAATTAATCTCTTGTAAAATTGCTTTTTTTTTAAACTTTACTATTTTATTGCTTACACCTTTGCCAAAGTAAAGGTTCAGCTGGTCCTTTTTATCCCACTCATGTGCTGCTTATTTTCTGATAGCAAAGTCATAAGAATAAAGGTGATGGCTGGTTATAAATTTATACATGTTTCGCCCTCTACTATCAAATATAATTGTTAAAAAAAATCTAATTTTATTTGTTTATGAGATATTCGTGGTGGGCCATTAATAATTAGTCTACCCGACCCATAAACATACAAATGTGTTTTTTTTAATGTAAGTAATCAGTAATTTTGGATTGATTTCTTTACATAATTTTATTGTAAAAACAGTCCCTGGTGCTATTGTGCACAAAAGACATAGCAATTGCTTTCGTACACTTGGCCACATCATGTAAAATCATGTCAGTCATTATAATTGGACATATTTTTTTTGCAAAAATGGGTCATTATAAGCGACATGTCAATGTAAGCGATGTCAATATATCCGACTAGACAGCTGTTTTTTTAAGGAATTTTATATGGAAACCAAATTCTTAGTGCGATTACGTCATATTAAGCGGTTGTCAAAATATCCGGCGTCATACTAATGGGATTCTACTGTACTTCTATAAATATACAGATTTTGTACTATTTATAATTCAATTTCAGTTCACGTACATATTATAGTCTAATAATCATCAATAAAAAACATTCTTTACTTCATTATAAAATCCATGAGTTTGAAGTGCAGTACTAGCATATTCAGTGGAAAATTTGTTTATCCATGGTTAGATTCGAATATTACTGCAATATGTAATATTAGGTGTCGAATGACTCCTTTTCCATTTCGGGTTCGATATGTGCCCTTTAATTAAATTTAGTAACTCGATTACCAAACTTAAGTCATTGGTTAACTCTCATACTTGCCTCGGGGCAAGAAATAGTTATACCCTTTCAGGAAAGTTGTATCTCCCAAAAAAATTTAAATATTTTATAAAGGGTCAAGAATATAATATTTAACTTAATTTTGAAGAAATGATTGGTTATGTTAAGAGAGAATGGATAAACTCTCTCTTAGTACTCTTAATCCTATAAACTGGTAATTATAAAATCGTACCGTTGAAGTTAAAGGTTGTATTAATCAACGCGACCTTCAACTGATTTCATTCGAACAGATTTTGAATTTTTGTGCCAAAAAATTTAGAATAATTTGAAACTTTGTGAAAATATAGGATCAAAACTAGGAAAACAAACATAGGAGCCGTTCAAGTATTACGTAAGCACTATAGGGGGGCGGGGGGTTGTTGATTTGCTTATTTTGGGTTGACATAGGGAGCAAGAAAGATCTGGATGATGATTACGTCATAGGTAGTATTTTTATTTTTTTACATTAATTGCAAAATGTTTATGTGAGCATGGGGATAAGGTGTAAGAGCTTTGCTTACTTTTGCTGACAAGGGGGATGGAGGGGGGTAAATAATTGTAATAAATCTGCTTCCGTAATACTTGAACGATCCCATATCCTTATGACAAGATAATCACATATAGTTCACAGTTAAAACACTTCCAAATGTGTATATATATGTATGGTGTATGCACACACATTAGGGTGGTCCTTAATATGAACGTTTTCAAATTTATTTGGGCTCAGGGCTCAAATGATTCCAAATTAATAAAAAAAAAATCTCTAAATGCTCTTAATATTAACATTTAGTTAGTGCGCAATCCAATTAAAAGTTTCATATTATCAACTTGTGCTATGAAGTAAATTCTTATGTCATACACTTGCACATCCAAAAGTTGTATATATTGTAATATTTGTGATTATGCTGAATGATTCTGTTATCTTTTGTTATTTTAAATAAAAATTTTATTTGATTTAAGTATTTTGTTTATGGCTAACTTGTTATAAGGTCAATAAGCCAATAAAAAAAATAATTCTAAAACATTTATAATCCCAGTCCATTCATAAACATTCTGAATAAATTATAAACAAATATAATCTGAATCATTTAATACAAAGATTAAATGACCTACTGTGATTTTTTTTATTATTCACCTGTAATGGGGATTCGGTGGTGGTGGATCTCTGAAGCCAAGCACTTCGTGTGGTGTAGTCGCTGGTTCCAATTTGCATTTTTGTGCAACCTGCCATTTTCGTCTCATAACTCGCTGCAGATCCTTTAAGAAATCCCTTGGAGGATTGCTCGCACTGTCCGCGAGACGCTTCGGCGACGAGCAATTTGCACTAAGACGAGTTGCCTCAGCCCGAGGTGGTGGTAAAGGAGCTTGATTAGAATCGTACGAGCTTGTTCGCGAGTATGAATTCATTCGTTTTGAAGGCGATAATTGTTCATCAAAAGTCACCTAAGACATAAGACATATGTATTAAAAATGTTGAAATAAATAGATGAGATCTGTATCAGACTAGAAATATAGTCGATACAATTCGTAGAAATAAAAATGTTATTTTTATTTCTACGAGTTTCAGTTGATGAAAATTACCTTTTTCTGATCCTCAAAACAAACTTTGCGTCTTAATAAAACAGGCGATTCAGCAAATTTTACACATTTCTCTAATTTATTATTATTCATTTGCATAGAATCAGCAAATGTGACAGTCTTTGGTGAAGGAGCAGTATTATAAATCTGCTGGTTATATGGAGGTGGTAATTTATATCCTGGAGGCTTTTTGTGTAATGACTGGGTATAAATTATGTTTCTTTCATTGTTGTTTACTACATTGTGATTGAGTTGCATATTATTTATTGACTGCGTTACATTGTCCATAGAATTGGTTTGAGTTAAACTATTTTGAGCACTATTAGCAATATCGGTCATGGCCTGCAGAGCATCTTCTAATTGTTTGATATTATGTTTAGGAGAATCATATGAAGTAATATTTGTATTTGAAAGTATCTTTGATGGTGTTGAGCAGTCACTAGAAATCGGTGAAGTTATCCTAAAAACAAATGCAGTCATTTAGACTAATTATATAGACTACTTCTGATTAGATTCAATTAACTTGCAACAAACTACTAAAATAAAGAAATATCTTGAATATTATCAAGAGAAAGCTGATTTATCTAATTAATATATAATTTAAGAATATAATAATTATTTTATGAAGATGTTAAATATAATTTAATGGTTATTTTTGTCTCAAAGAATAATTTTTCAATGTTAAAAGTTATTTTTTACCTGTTATCAATTTGATCATTAGATTGCACATTAGGTGGTGGTGGCGGCAGGCTGGTCAGAGAAAGCATTGATGTCCCAATATAATCAGCTGAATCATTAGCATCTAAAGGTGGTGGAGGAGGTGGTAATGAGTCCAGAGATAAGGTAGAAGCACTCATCAAGTCCTCTGATGATAATTCTAGTGGAGGTGGTGGAGGCAGTAAAGAACACATGGAATCCGTCTGTAAGATACAAGGCAAAGCTATAACACAAAACTATTCATGCCAGACAAATACAGCAATCAGAAATGTGCTAAAAATAAAAATATATTATTTTAAAAATAATTATTTATGACTACTATGTAATATAACCGGTTTAGCTCACTTACCATGCATGATAAAGAAACAGCATTGTTTGGGGACACTTCTGGTAGCATATTGGTTCTTGATGTGTCAGGAGTACTAGGTGTAGGAGTAGAATGACCACTTCGAATCGAGCCCATGGATTCTGAATTTAAATGATTATAAATGTCATTTCATTTTATAATAATATATTATTTAAGCATCCAATCGATTAGTTTATTTTAGCTATGTTTAAAAAAATGATACTGAAATCATCTGTAATTATTGAATTTATAGAGGCTCATATGTGTCATTAACTTGTGTTGTGCTTAAAAAATGCTGTAATATACATTATTAATAATAAAAATAATACACATTGTATTAATCAGTGATTGTTTAAGTTAAGTTAATTTGACAATACATTACAATACAATAATGTATACAAATTATCAATAAGTAACTCACCAATAGAACCACGACTTCTTGTAATCCTCTTAAGTGTTCCATTACTGCTACAATCATCTGACCTTCGTCTACTATGCCTGCGGGTCAGAGTACCTCCTTGCGAGCCTTGAGGGCTATGAGGTGAACTGGGAGGAGCAATTTCCACACCACCCATAGTCGTGGTATCCCCAACTTCTTTTAACTGTCGTGTCATCGATGTTAATGGTAAATTGGGTTTCATTGATGGCTTCCTTTTGATGGTTCCTGATTAATTAAATAAAATTACCATTCAACACATTTCATTTGTTATTATATTTCATTAAATTGTTCATAAGTTGATATAAATTATTTACCCATAGGAAATTCTGATTCAAATCCATTTTCATCAGACATGCAGCCACTTGAACTGGAGCTGGATGCTCTTGACAGTCGACCAGAGGATGGAGAGTTTGTAATTGGCATTGGTGGTATGCTAATACTACAATTAGATCCACTTCTTGCACTAACTAAGGCATCAATTTCTTCACGAGCCAAATCCTCTAATAATGTACGATGATTATCCAGAAGCCTACGACCATGCTGAAATTATATGAAACACTTAATCAGCATCGTTCCAAAAAAATTTGAGTTTTTCCATACATAATAATTTCCAAAACATAATCCTAGTACTAATGATTGAAAATATATATCCAAATAAAGTAATCAAATGTAACTAACCTTTGCTATTCTGATGGCAATCAACCATTTCTCAAATAATTTTTCATCTTCTACACAAAGCATTTTTAATCCTCGGCCACCTTTAACAGATGGGGCTCTTGGAGGTTTCAAAGCAAAACAGAAGTCACTGGGAGCACGATGTTTTTTCTTCCAGGATACTCCACGATATAATTCATGACCAGTAAAAGAAGCCAGACACTGTAAATCTCTTGGTGATCTTGGACCTTTGTCTTTTGGGTAATAATATAAACCTATAAAAACGAGATAACTGGTTAATAACAGCAGAATTGTTTTGAAATGATATACTTTCTTTAATTAAATTATTGAAAGCAATAAACAATTCAGTTCAGCTACAGACAATCAGATATATTGGAGCAGTACAACATAAATATAAATAAAAGCTACCTGAAGCCCTTAAAACAAAATGGTATTTCTTCCAGCCCTTCTTTGAATCACTTTTAAGATATAATGGTCCTTCCATTGCAACAACTGCAGTACCATTAAAAAATTCCTCCAGTAATAAAGATCTGCAAATAAATAGTGGCATAAATATCATTTCCAATTGTTATTAATAAACTTAATAGCAATTAAGACACCTTAAATAATTATATTTGTCATAGGAATTAATAAAATCTAATTGAAACTGTTTATCATGCAAAACACCCAAATGAAAATTTGTGGAATACTATATGAAAACAAAGTTCTTATAATAATAATAATAGAACAATAATACTTTGTTATTAAAAATTTTAATAACTATAAATATAGGCATTGCTTTGTAACTCCTAAAGAAACAACATTTTTGATAACAAAGAGTAAAATTGAAAAATTATTTATAATAAGATCTATTATACAGAACCACATATTTCATACAAATAAATTTTACCTAGAATGCTCATCATGGTCAACACTTGCAGGAGATTGTGACAGAAATTCTTCTGGTTTGGTGAATAATAAAGTTTTATCCAACCTTTGTAAAAATAATACCCTGTTTTTAGAATCCCTACTCCACAGCATTAAATTATCCACGAGCAGTTCATGATCTTCATACAACCTTTCTGTAATGAAAATAAACAATTGCAAATAAATTAACTTGTCACTAGTTATCTTTAATATTTAAAAATAATATTACAAATCAGATTGAAAAGAATATACTGTGCTTTTGCAAAAATTTGCATTACGTTCAAAATAAGATTTCATCTGAGATAAGAAATTTTTAAATTAATGTGATTGTTTTCTTGTTTCAGAATATAGGGCTAATTATATATAAGAGATTAACTTTTAAAAATATATAAATTACTTTAGGTATGTATATTAATATGCAATAAGAAAGCAGTTATTTTCTAACAAATTTCAAGAAGCAATTATTATTGTTAAAAGTTTTTTATAAGCTATCTTCTCATATTCTTATATTTCACTTTCAAATATGTTTTTTCTAAGACATTCAATAAGACAAAACTTACCCATTTGTAAGTCAGGCAAATGCTCTACAAGTGACCAATGTGGTTCCATTTTCACATGATTTTTATCTGCTAATAATCGAGTAACATGACCACAGCTCATTCTCTCATCAACTAAAAGACTTTTACTTGCTCCATCTGCACTGAAAGCTTTTACAAAGAGTCTTCGAACAGATGCTCTAGCTAGCTTTTGCAAAGCTAAATGAATTTTTGCAGCTTTAGCACCATCATGTTGTTGTTGTGTGTTTAAAATTTGTTCAGGACATGGTATAGGCAAAGGCACTTTGTGAGTTAAACCTGAACTGGCTCCACTAGAAGCGGAGGATTCACTAGATAAAAGGGAAACCTAGAATAAAGGATTAAATTAATCTTTATATTTGTAATCTGAATTCTCATTCAACTGTTCAGTTTTATTAAAAAACATTATTGATTGATATTTTTTAGTACATACTGTATCACTGAATGCTGAATCATTATCAGGACTATCATTCCTTGGCTCTCTAACAGTGCCATCTCCTTCAGTTGAAGCTCTAATCCTCGTACAATCTGAATTATTTCTACTATGTGTTCTCCTTTGTCTTGTATCATCTACGAATTACAAAAATTTTAAAAATTATGGAGGATATGAGATATTGAATAAAAACTATTTATATACAATTGAAATCGTGAATTAAAAATTGATGCAACAAAATATAATATTTACTTTTTTGCTCCAAAGCACTTAATTCGCCCAGAATGGCATCAAGTTCTGCTTCATGTGATTCTTCTAAATTGGCCATTGAAAATCGGTAACTATCTATTCTTGGTCCTGAACTTGATACTCTATGTATAGGCTCATGTGTGGTGGAGGATACTGAATCCAAACCCTTAAAAAGAAAAAAACTATTATTAATACTTCACAACTGTCAGCACATTTTATTTAGAGGTTATGTTATAAGTTTACAATTATAAATATAAGTCAACAATTATAAAATAGTTTTATCGAAAAAAAATGTAAATTATTTATTATAATAAAATGAATAATTCATACCTATTTATTAATTAATTAAAATATTGGAGAATAAACAGAAAATATTTCATTTTTAATATAAAAATATAATCTAACATATTATCTAATTCAAGAGGTATAATGGGCACAGTTTAATAAAATATTTATACATAATATATAAAATATTCATAAATTAGTTAATGTTATTAGGTTAGTATAAAATTAGTTGATTTATATATGTTTTGGAAAGGGCCGGCGAACTTTTCACTTTGACAATCGATTGGTGTTGCCAGATAGACATTTACATGAACATGGTCCAGCTCCAGAGATATTATTTCGAATATGGCAGCCCTGGATGACTAGGATTATATACTCTTCTTTTATCTATGATTATATAGATAAGATTGGATAAGATAGATATTTAATTAGCATAATAAGAATATTGGAATATACTTTAATTAGCATAATATTTAATATAATAATAATAATATTAGCATAATAAGAATATTGGCTCGGATGGAACGAATTTTATTCTCATATTGTCTAGGTAAACTAAGTAAGATATATCACTGGATTATCTTATAAAATATCATACTTATTTAAATGTACAGTTTAAATCATAGAAATTATTTTTGTATTTCTGATTGCTAAAATAAAGTGAAATAAAAAAAATAAAAAAATTGTCTAGGTTTAAGTAGTTTGATGTAACTTGTCAAATTAGTTAGCAAAATGATTGTGAACAACTACTTCTGAGCAGAAATTAATATAATATTCATAAGCCACAAGTAACTTTTTATTATAAATTTTAGGAAAATTACGTAAAAAATACACTTTGCAGTCGTAAATGCTTTTGTAAATATATCAACCTGCAAAGCAAAATTGGGATTAATTGTCGGAAAAATCGAAATGTTGCTAGTATATAATCGTATGAGTTGGTAGACAGGAATTGCTCCGTAGCCCGTTTTATCAACCGTTTCACAAACAAAACCTAACCTCAAAAAAACACATACTTCAGAAAATTTCAGAATATTGTCTTTGGTTAGACTTTACGTATCAAAAGTAGCAACTGTAAGTTGATTTTATGATAAAATTGTTTTTTGACATTTTGTCCCATTTGGAGGTTAGATTTTATAGCGTTTTGAATATAGGCCTGTAACACAACATTTCTATTCTATACTAGAATTGAGCTCTCAATTTCAAATCATTCTAAACTTCTTTTCCACAAATAGTAAATACTTTACTAAAGATTTAAAATATACTTTTAAATAAATCAATAATATTTATTGTTATCTCAAATATCACGAGAAATTCATGTTAGTTGTGATAAAATCAATTTAAGTTGTCAGCAAGTATCCGGTTGAAGCAAAGCCGGAATCGGTGTGTCAGTGAAATATTAAGTATTCAGTTAACGTCTCGCTATTTCCTATGTCGGATTAATATTCAAACGGGATTGCGCGCTTCCGTTGGGGTTGAATTTGCACCTTGTAAAGGCAGAAAATCCACATTTTTGCTACTAATATTAAGAAACTAGTGTAGTGCATAGCATCGTGCCTTAAGGCAAATTGCTGAAACTTTCCGTACCGTAATTAAAAATCTTGCTACGGAACCCAAAAAAAATTACACAAAATGTGTACACATTACTAAAATCTCTATAAAATATCTTATAATTTGATGTGCACATGTCCAATAAATATCTTTGACCGCCAAATGACATTTTTTTATCTTATTTTTATTGAGAGTTCATAACCGCTAGACCTGCTAGTCCCAAAAAATTAATCAGTTCTTCATCTTATTGGTGTTCACGAAATCGTCGACTAAAATTTGTATCCGCACACACACAAACATACATCCATTTTTTCTGAGGTATGCCAAAATGTTCAGAAACCTCTGAAACGTAAAGATTTATAAATAAAAATTTATATTCGATTTTTTGCTATTACTATAACTTACCCTACGGGAAGTTAACAAGAATGCATTAATTTTCAAGTTGTTAAAAAAAATTAGTAAGTAACTTATTTCACTATTGCATATCATAAGTATACGAGGTGTGTTCAAAAAGTACCCGGAATTTTTAAATTTCGCGGGTCTGGAGTGTCTGATTGTCAAAATTTTTTTTTTATTGTGTTGGTATACATGCCCCTAAAGTATGATGAAATTTTCAGCTATATTCACTGTTTACTTTGTCTGTGGTAGTCGCTAAATTCGACGTGTTTTTCTGAGCTCGGCGATTTTTACAATGGAAGAATTGAAAAGTCAAAGAATTTGTATTAAATTTTGCGTAAAAAATGAAATAAAGTGTAACAAAGTGTGTGAAATGTTACAAAAAGCCTATGGTGAGTCTGCTATGAAAAAAACAAGTGTTTACGAGTGGTATAAGCGTTTCCAAGATGGCCGCGAAGACGTTGAAGATGACGAACGCTCCGGTCGACCCAGCACGTCAACAAACGATGAAAATGTGAAAGAAGTGGAAAAAATGGTTATGAATGATCGCCGAATCACAATTAGAGAAGTTGCTGATGAAGTTGGCATATCAATTCATTAACAATTCATGGCTGTTGCACCACGATAACGCACCTGCTCACTCGTCGTTGCTTGTTCGTAATTTTTTGGCCAAAAACAACACCGTAGTCATGCCCCAACCTCCATATTCACCAGATATGGCTCCGTGTGACTTTTTCCTATTCCCAAAGTTGAAGAGACCCATGAAAGGACGGCGGTTTTCCTCGATTGAAGAAAATCGCTGAGAGTGCTCAAGGACATATCAAAAAGTGAATATCAAGGGTGCTTCGAAAATTGGAAAAAACGCTGGCATAAGTGTATTATATCTGGGGGGGACTACTTTGAAGGGGACCACATTAATGTAGACGAATAAATAAATATTTTTTTGAAAAAACGAAAATTCCGGGTACTTTTTGAACAGACCTCGTATAATATAATACTATTTTATAAAATAGTTTATTACTATTTTATGTTAATCGTTTTCGTGATATTGAATTACACATTTTTTCAAATCCTTTATACATATTCTTGATTGAAATTTTGGCGTATAAAATAAAATGTTGCAATGGTATCAAATTTAATACCATAAATTTTAAAAAATAAATACATAGGTATACAAACATTTGTTCAAGTGTGGTTTTCGTTGTTCAAATGAAGATATGAAAATTAACATGAAATGAAAGTGCTGAAAAATATTGCATCTCAGCATAACACATATTACGTAGATTTTAATAATAAGAAATGATGAAATAATTAAATGCAATAAATATACCTACCGTTTAAAGACGGATACAGTAATTAGTAAAACAGTGGATTTTATTTTTTTATATGCAAAGAAGGTATCGGTAATACTAAAATAAATAATTTTTAAAAAACATAATATTGAATTTGTAACCTTTAACAATACAAATAAATAAATATAATGAAAGAATGTTGAAAATAAACATGTATAGAAATCAAGCATTCCATAACAATAATCATAGGTGGTACAAAGTCCACCGGGTCAACTATTATATAAATATAATATATATATATATATATATATATATATATATATATATATATATATTGTGTGTGTGTATTAGGTTAAAAACAAGCTATGCGATAAGCACCTTAAAACAATGACTAACAACGAATGTAAAACAATATTTGATTTAAAAACACTTTAGTTTTCTTCAAAAGTTTTTAATTTTTTTGCTCCAAGAAATTCACAAAAAATATATTGTACCTAGTTTCAAGCGCCGAAATTAAATGCAAATTTCTATAGAAAACAGTTTTGTGTATAATTAGCTCTATATATATATATATATATATATATATATATATATATGTGTGTGTGTGTTCACTGTAAAGAGAAACTTTTCAATAGTTGCGCTTTCATGGAAGACATCTGTTAATGCTGGGCGAAAATAATTACTCTGAAACTCTAGCCGCCGTTATCTTCAAATCCTCGACTTTATATTACATAATAGCAATTATTTCGAATGCATTATTCAAGCCAGAGGCTATGATAAGACACCAAACGGCCATTTCATCCTCTTAAAAGTTCACAACGATCCACAGATACTAAAGTTTTAATTAGAATAACAGACGAATCCAGATTTATTTTTACAGTGAATTTCCAAGCAAAGCGCCTGGCCTGTGCAAACAAAATTATTCAGCTAAACTAAATGCCGTTCTCAATTCAAAGAATTGCACGTGCATTCGGTAATGATGTTCAATGTGTGAATTAACTAGTAAGCATGAAAGAATTGTTTATACATAAGTGCAAATGCACGAGAAGCATTCACTTGCAAAAATATTTTAATAGAATAAATCATATAAACTACCAGTGAATGGCAAATTATGGGAACTTCCCGTAATTTAACTTATTTTAAAAACTTTTATTTTTTTATTAATTTTTAAAGAAAATATATATTTTTTTGATATCCTTTTTTTCAAAGCGCCTCATCGTTGTGTAATCATGTAAATGTAGAAAAAATGAGTATTTATTATTAAAATCTCTATAAAATAGTTGATAATTTGATGCACACACAAATGTCTAGTAATTATTTTTGACCGCCAAATTTATTTTAATTTTTTTTTATGTGTCTTCGAAACTGCTGGACCAACCTTCTCAAGAATGTAACAATTTCTTCATTCCGTCAATACAAGTGAAATGTTTTGGAATTTTTTCAAATCGTACGCTACGTTCTCTTATAAACTGAATTTTTGCACTTTTTGCCCCGTATCTCTGATATGGTTGGAACTGTCGTATTTAAAAATAAAGAAACTAAATTCCAGCTAATTAAAAAAGACTATAAATCATTCAAATTCACTCAATAATTGTATTTTATGTTATGTAGTTATAGAATTTATTAAAACTTTCCTTCGATAATT